CAGGTTTCTGAGAAATGTTTTCATATAAAAGGGCGAGACAGCGAGAGTATAGTATGCCTTACACTTGTCTGTTTGAAAAGAGAGGGAAGGGTGTGTGAGGGTGTGTTATCTGCTGGCATGCACCTCGGCCGTATCTGGAAGGTGCTGAAGAGAATAACCACACCGAGTTGTCACCTGCAGGGACAGGAACTGGGTGGCAAGTTGCCAAGGAGGCAGTGAGAATTTAAACTGTGTCCTTTTAAACTGTGTCCAACTCATCTATTTTTTAAAAATGGGAATGAGAAATTTTTAAGTGCATTCATGCAAAATAATTTCTACGTTATATTTTTAAGTGACAAACACAAATATGTGTGCATGCATCCCATTTACAAAAACAAAAAAAAAATGGGGAGGGGGAGGAATGTGTGTCTTCGCTTCCGCATACACAGACTCCCCCGGAAGGGCACGGAGGAGGCTGGCGACAGTGGTTTGCCTGCAGGGACAAAAACGGGTGGCCGGGGACAGAAGTGGGAGGGAGACCTTTCACAATACATGCCTCTGTACCTTTTAAACTCAGACTACATGAACTGATTTCTTCAACAAAATAAAGAAAATTGAAACAAGTGAAACCCTAAAATTGAATGCCTTTCACCTTGCAACTTTCCCCCCTTCTAAAATATTCAAGCGGCTTTCCAGCTACTGTCAGGCTAAAATCCAAATTTCTTGACATTTATGTTCTTTTTATAACTGCAACTCATTATTTCCTGCCTGGAGCTTTCTGTTCCACCTAAAGCACTTCACCGACTCTACTCGTAGTTGTGTATTTCCTGGCATGGCTTCATCCTTCTCCCGCTCTTCTTCAGCCATCAGAGACTGCATCACACTGCATCAGCCTGAGCTAGTGCTCAGGCTCATGTCTGCAAAGTTTTCCCGAGCAGTCTGGCCCTCTGTGACTTCTCTTTTCCAAATTCCTGCAATAATATATTATCTGGCCTACATATCTGGCCCTCACCTCACACCCTCTTTCTTATCAAGGTTATATGTACTCTGTCCCCAAGTCAGATTACCAAATCCTGTGTGCAGTGGCTAAGGATGACAGTCTTCCAAAAGTCCCTTTTCCTGGCAGAGCCTTACACTTGGTTTATGTCACAGGGGTGCTTTTTTGACTAATCTCTTCTTTGTGGAAATTTTATTCCATGCATCGCTTGCCTGATGTGCTTAACCATCCAGGGCTGTATCATGACTATGAGAAACCGTGTATGTACCCAAAACCACCCTAGCAGAAAAAACAGAGGACAAAGTAAGAGTCGAAATTCCAGGAGCACATGGTGTTTGAACAGCAATATATTTTTAAATATAACATTTTGGAAAACAAGATGCATGCTAACACTTTTTCCTTCTTTTTCATTTTGGCTGCGTTTTGGAGACGAGGCTCTATTTTTCTGGTAACCATGGTGAATTAATTAGCTTTTCTGCTATGTTATCAAATGGTTCTTGAGGTTCTCATTTTGAGTAAATGGAAGAGTTGGATTTAAATCTTGGCAGGTTTGATCTCAGATCCACTTGACTTCTGAGCCAGCATAGCATTGCCTTAAGATTTAACAGAGACATTCAGTGTAAATACATTCTTCAAGGAGCCTACACACGATCACACACTACATCAGTCTGCCCTTCACCCGGGTTATGGCTGGGTATGCAGCAGATGCAGCCATTTCCTGGAGGGCTTAGAATTTAAAAAAAAAAACAAAAACCTTCTGAAAAAGGTTGACCTTCAAACTCAAGCCAGTAAGAATGAAGAAGTAAACAATGAACCATCAACAATAACAGTAACAGCTTTTACCTTTGCCTAAGTCTTAGCTAGGCACTATCTATCTCAGGCATATTACCTTTTTGTCTTTACAAGAACTGATTGAGATGGGCATTACTTGCTTATCTTCCTTTGCAGATGAGAAAAGAGACTCAGAGAGGCCAAACTACTTGACCATAATCCTGCAGCTAAGCGGTAGAGCCAGAGTTCAAATGCAGAGCTTCTGCCCCTGGGTTGCTGTGCCCGATTTTGACTTCATTGTTGTTTTTCCAAAGATTAGTCACATGGACAAGTAACTTATTAATACACTTGTCTCACTCTCTTTAACTAGATCATAAGACCTTTATGTGGAAGATTGTACCTCCTTCCCCTATGTTTTTCCACGTTTGATCCATAGCGCAGAGACAGTGTCAGTATTCAGTCCTCCAGAAGGAATAAATGCATAAATGGCTTTTATGGCCTTTAAATGTGCATTAATAAATACAATATTCAGATTCACAATTCAACAAACCAGCTACGTGCCAGGCAGTGTGAGGTGGTACAAAGGGCATGAGTTTGGAGGACTACAAATGATGTCCGTGAAGTGCCTGGCACACTGAGGGGCCCAGTACCTGGTACTTTTCTTAATACATTTACATGATCTGATTCAATTTTTCTCACACACAACCTCGTTAGGTAGTGAGTGGATTGGTAGTCAGTGGATTGAATCAGATCATGTAAATGTATTAAGAAAAGTACCAGGTACGGGGCCCCTCAGTGTGCCAGGGTGTCATAACAGAACGCCACAGACTGGGTGGCTTGAACACCAGAAATTTATTTTCTCACAGTTCCGGAGGCTCCAAGTCCCAGACGGAGGTGCACACAGCTGAGCCCTCACTTCCTGGCTTGCCCAGGGCCTCCCTCTCATGCATCCTTGCGTGGCCTTTCCTCTGTGTGTGCACGTGGAGAGAGAGAGCGCTGGTGCCTCTTTCTCTTTTTATAAGGACACCACTCCTGTTAGGTTAGGGTCCTGCCTTTATGGGACCTTAGTTGCCTCATTTAACCTTAATTACTTCCTTGAAGGCCAGATCTCCAAACCCCTCCAGTGGGGGTTGAGGCTTCAACATATACATTTTTTGGGGGGTGGGAGAAATGATTCTGTCCCTAACGAGTAGTTTCCTCCCTTCCCATTTTATGGATGTGGACACAGATATTTGAAGGGATGTTTCCTGTTCTTCCATGAAGCCTGGTTGTGCTGTCAGAAATGTCCACCACCCATATTTCCACAGGTTTCTTTCCTCCTTGCAACCTAAAGGAGCTCAGTCACTTCATCCTCTCCAGGGGTAATTGTTTTTTTTTTTTTTTCCCTAAGAAAAGAGTCCATCTTTTCTTTGGATGGTGCTGACGAAACACTGACTGTTGATTTCCCCCTGAGTTCCTCACCTATACGTTCACCTCTCTTCTGTTATTTTGTAATTAGCTGAGACCGAGCAATTATAACATAAAAGATTAGTTTCAATTATCTCTAGATCACAGAACAGGAACCATGCTGGAGCAATGCTTACTGACTTTGGAACAAAGCTGGGGAAGGGAATGTTGTTCAGCTCATAGTAAACTTTAGGTGGAATTACTTGGTTCTCTCATGAGAAAGCGTGTTATTCTCCATCTGATGGCTTTGATATCATTGTAACTCAATATTCTCTACTTCTGTTTCACCTATATATGCCTTCTACTGCTTCTTGTCTCATAGCCTCTGTCTTACCAGCTTCAGTCACATTGTTACTTCTTTGTGCCTTGAGTTCAAATCTCACTTAGAGAGGATCTGACTGGTTCAGCCAGTCAGCAAACCTGTAGGTCCCTGGGGCACCTTTTAGTCTAATTGTACATGTTGCTCCAGGACAATGGAAATACTTCTTTTATCTATCACAGCTTGATTAAATTATTCTTTGAGCATACACAATGGCTCTCTTCTAGTCCTTGCTTACTTCACTCCTACAAGGCTGGCCAGTGTTGCAGTTAACATTCAAGTTCTGGGGTAAGAGTGTCTGGATTTAGATCCACCTTGTAGCACTTACCAGCTATATGACTTCTGACAGATGCTCCACTTCCTTGTGACTCAGTTTCCTTATAGATAATATAAGGATGATGACAAACAGTTCCTACTTCAGAGAGTTGTGAGGATTCAGTGGGTTAAGGCATATGAGCACTTTGCATGGTGCATGCAGGAGGGCCCAGGCAGTTTCAGCTACCATTTCTAGTCATTGTCTGAGTATTCTTGCCCACCGGGAAGAAATGTCAGTTATTCTGCCAAAGATGTCTCTAATTGTAAATTTACAAGTCAGCATTTAAGATAGGTGTTCTGTGTCTCATTAAATAACACGATTAACCGAGGTTGTTAGTTCCTGTAGAAATTTGTTCACCAATCCACAAGTGTTATATACACAGTCATCGGGGATATAAGATTAATGCCTGTAGTCTATCCAGGGAGAAAGTCGCATGGATAAATATTGACGTCAACCGGAGTGTGGGGGCACCACGAAGAAGTGCTCCTCTTGCCCCGCACAGGGGCAGGGGCAGGACAGGAGGGATTTCATCTTGGAGGAGATAACTTGACTGGACCTTAAAAAGGGGAGTGGGAAGGTGTTTCTGATACTAGTGACAGCAAAAGAGAGAATATAATATGGTGCCTTCAAGGAGCATGTAGATCTTTAATCTTTTATTCTAAAACCCAGTTCTTTTTAATTTAATGTTCTTTCTACATAATAAGGCAAGGAATTAAAATGGCGAGTATTTTAAAAATTGGGTAAGAGCCCTGGCTGGTGTGGCTAGTGGATTGAGCGCTGACCTGTGAACCGAAAGGTCGCTGGTTTGATTCCCAGTCAGGACACAAATCTGGGTTGCGGGCCAGGAACCTGGTTAGGGGTGCGTGAGAGGCAACGGACTGGTGTTTCTCTCCCTCTCTCCCTTCTCTGAAAATAAATAAACAAAATCTTTAAAAAAATATCTTAAACATAGGTAAGACTGTGAAAAGAGAGCGAGCACTCAGGACCGAAGGAACAGTGTCTCACGACTCCTACAACCAGCGATTCCTAAACGTTAAGATTAACTTTGGCCTCCAGAGAGGAGAGTACACTACGCATGCGCCTTCAATAGACCGTACGGGCGGTGAATTACGACCTCTGCTGGCGACGTCACGACTCTTGCCGTAAAAGCTGCGTGGGGCGCCTGCGCACCTCCTTTCCTTTTTTGGATAGACTCTGCCGCCGCTCGTGCGGGTCCTTGCAGCGCCGCCTGGGCCGTCACCATGGTGAAGCTGAGCAAAGAAGCCAAGCAGAGGCTGCAGCAGCTCTTCAAGGGCGGCCAGTTTGCCATCCGCTGGGGCTTTATCCCTCTCGTGATTTACCTGGGTCAGTGGGAGAAGAACCTGTGAGGAGATGGGAGGGACGGGGATGCGGGGGCTGGGACTCCATTTTTGGCTTTCAGCACTGGAGAGAGAAGCGTGACCAGGCTGTGCGGGTCTTTTGAGTCTCTCTGGCCTAGTGGGGTCGGTCTAACTTTAGTTCGAGTTCCTATTCTACCTTTTAGTACTTTTTACTGTCTCATGCAAGTCACGTAATCCCTCCCGTCCTGTTTTTCCATCTGTGAAATGGAGGTGACACACTGTTGAGGACTGTTTGGAGAGTTAGACTGCCCGACGCGTGGTAAAGCGACACATATCAACCTTTGGCAGTAGGTGGATTTTCAGGGCGTTTGCGCTCACCTGCCCACGTGGACCTAGCTAGAAAGAGGCCTGTAGACGTCGGGGACAGATCACTGCCTTAAAGCCTTATTTTGACAGGAGTTGTTGGATGCCTCTAAACTGTGTGAAGTAGGGCGGGGATGATGTTTACTATAGAACCCATTCCACAGGTGGGGAAACAAAGTCACAGAGAGGTTTTTGTCCTTGCCGGAAGGCCGCGCAGCTGTTAAGTTGGGGTAGCCATGAACCCGAGCGATGGGACAAGGCCCCAACTCTTCGGCTTGGTGCTGTACTGCAGAGATTTGTGAGCGCTCAGTCAGTTATTTTCCCCTAGGGCTGCACATTGGGATTTGATCCTATTTCCAGCCTTGGGTAGTTTTTTTATTTTTTTTTAAAGATTTTATTTATTTTTAGAGAGGGAAGGGAGAGAGAAAAAGAAAAACATCAATGTGCAGTTGCTGGGGGTCATGGCCTGCAACACAGGCATGTACCGTGACTAGGAATCGAACCTGCGACACTTTGGTTTGCAGCCCGGGCTCAATCCACTGAGCTATGCCAGCCAGGGCTTAGTTTTTTTATTTTAATCTTATTGCCCAACTCAGGCAGCGTGGTGGACAGGAAAGAGCCCCAGCGCTGTCAGTTTGAGCATCAAGTTTGACATTTTCTGAAACTCACACTTTAAAACCCCACGATTTTAACAAGGGGCTCCTTTCCATTTGTTTCAGGCATCATGCATTGCCTGAGAGAAAGTGCATGCTTCATCTTGACTGAGCCTTTGATTATGCTGGACGTTGTTTAGGCAGCTGTGGCTCCCACTTCCCTGTGAATTGCAAGCCAGCTGATAATATGGGGATACTTAAGTATTCAGGACTTAAATAGATCTTTTTCCTCTCTTATTTTGAATACTTTTAAAGCATGACTTTTCCAGATTTTAGTGACTCTGTAGAAGCATCAAGAATTAGAATAAATAGTTGACAGCCCATTGTTACTGGCTGTGCTGTTCTCCCTCTCCTCCCAGACTCTCCCTCTCCAACTTTCAGATGGTAGAAAGAGCCCAGTCCTGCTAGTGAAACACTGGAACCAGCTCTGCTTTTAGCTAAGAAAGGGAGGGGGGCTTTGGTTCTCTCCCTTTGTTGCATTATTTCCTTCTTCCATTGTGTGTGTGTGGGGGGGGTTTTAGTCTCTCTTGCTCTCTGTGTCCCTGTGATTTCTGTGCTGCTGTAGATGTCTTTTCATCTACCTTTCCCTCCTTCTCTTTTTGAGAGTTCTACTTTCCAGAAAGCTGTAGCTGGTTGCTACAATCCCTATATCAAGGGCTTTGGTCTGAGATGATGCTTTTCTTTTCCATCCTAGACTTTGTTTTCCTTTGTGGGCACACTGGCTACATTCTCTCTCCTAGGATTACCATCGTGGTTTTTGCCCTAGCATCCAGCTCAGGTTGAGATTGATGTTAAGGCTGTCTTTTCAGTACTTCTTCCTTGTTAATCATTGTCTGTTTTCTTACACTAGGTATACATTTATGCCTAACCTCGTTCCGAGGTTGTTTTTTCCATCCACCTCACCTCTACAAAAACCTGCAACCACAGATTGAATTTCTTGTGTAATTTAGGTTAAAACAGACCTTTTTAGGGCTTCAGGGGGATTATAGTGCTATAAAACAGGATAGACAGTGATATAATAAGGAATCTGTTTTAGACACTTACCAACAGAAGGATTTTAATGAGTCACCTTTTGGAAGACAATTTTCCATAGTGTCTTGAATTTCTACAGATCTGGTGAACAGAGGCCCTGACCACCCTTTGTTCCATATTATCTGTTTAAGTATGTTTGTAGCTTGAGCAGCCTTGGAAAATAGTACCTCCCTCCAGAACAAAGGGGAGACATGGCCCATTTTAAAAGGTTCTGGTTCCCTGACTGCAGGGCTGTCTCCTAAGTGATTGTCCTCTCACTACAGGTGTAGCTGGGAGTCACACATTGTTCTTTGTTCCTGACTTGGTATCTGTTGTGTGTCTCCTGTCAGCAGCTGTGAAACCGGCAAGCCAGTTCGTTATCTCAGAAATGGGGTAACATTTTATACCCTTCACAGTTCTTGCTGACAGCTGTCATTTTAGTCAATTATTTCAGCACATTAACATATGCTGTCCAATTAATAAATACATTTTAAATGGTAAAATGTTTATTTAATTGTACTTGTAATAAGAGTGCTGACTTAATTAGGTTGTTGAACAATAACTTGCATTTTTTTCCCTTTTTTCTATCACCAGTCTTTGATTGGTTTATAAAAAGAGGTTCGTGCGGGATAAGATAAGATATTCTCAATAATTTTTTAAGTTTATTTCTTTAAAAAAATCTTTTTGCTTTTTGTAGTCCTTCATACAGTGTAATTTGGCAGTTGTGATATCTGTTTCCTGAACCATGACCCGTAATGAAAGGTAGTGCCTGCCACGGGCTGCTGCCCTGATTGTGTGTATGTATAGTGGGAAGAAGGTGGTTTGTCTTCCCTACTGACTAGTCCTGGATGTAACCTCACACTCGAGTGAAGATGGGAAACTGTTCTGTAGCACAGGTGGATCTAGATGAAGCTGGTAGATTAGGATATCGTTCTAGCCACCCTAGGTTATTGAAAAATAAAGTCATGATTGTAATTTTTGTCTGTTGGGGTTTTAATTAGTATTATTCTCTCTCTCCTCCCTTTCCCTCTCTCCCAGGATTTAAGAGGGGTGCAGATCCTGGAATGCCTGAACCAACTGTCTTGAGGTACTGTTCTTACGAATAAACATTTCAGGGCAAATGCTCGTATGGCAGTACTGGCGAGCACGAGAGCAGCCGTGGTGGCATTGTAAAGGAGCTCTGCCAGTTGGTGTAGTTTGGGGCTGTTGGAAAACTGCAGCAATTTGCAGACCAGTTTAGCTTATGTTAGCAGGTAAGTACTTTCTCTCCCCTTCCTGACTTTTACTGGCTGTACCATGTTATAATGTAGTGAAGCATGTGTTTTTAAAAAAAGAACTAATTTATTATCCTACCCCTTTAAAAAGTAAACTGTTTTGAATTCTGTCTTTATTCAGATAAATACAGCTTTTTATATCATTCTAATAAGAGGATTTTATTTTCTTCACCTAAAATTAGAGTTGATATCCCATATTTTTTCAGTTGTTGATTACTTAAGTTTTCCCATTTTTCAATATCCTACATAGCAATATAATGAACATTTTTATGGACATCAATTTTATAAGTTTTGATCTATTTCCTTGTGATCCATTCTAATGGGATTAGTAGGTCAAATGTATGAACACTTATGGCTCTGAAAATGCACTGTCAGATTTCTCTCAGAAACAAACTTGCCAGTGTTTGGTGAGCACTTGTGAAAGCCACACACAAACACAGGTGCGCAGAGTATGCATACTCATCGACTGACACATGTATGTGTGTACGTAGACCTCTCAGGACACTCTCATGCGTGTGTGCACATACATCTGTGCAAAGGCGGAATCTAGAAGAGGCAGGTTGCCCCGTAGGAGGAACTCATACCTGCGGTGCTACCATGGCCAGGGCCCCTGCACCATCACTGTGGATTTCTGCTTGGTCCTCCGTGTTACAGACATTCTTGGGGGTGGCCCTCAGGCACTTTTCACTGGCTGTTCTCCATCTTCAGTTTCTTTAAATTCCTGCTCTCAGCCAGTTTTTCTAGAATAGGCAGAAAATAATAGCAGTATTACTAGCTGCCACCCAACAGTGTGTCACCCACTGTTTCAGGTGCTCTGTGTACAATATTTCTTTTTTTTTTTTTAAAGACATGGATATCTTTTTTTTTTTAAGATTTTATTTATTTATTTATTTTTTAGAGAGGGAAGGGAGGGAGATAGAGAGAGAGAGAGAAACATCAATGTGCGGTTGCTGGGGGTTATGGCCTGCAACCCAGGAATGTACCCTGGCTGGGAATCGAACCTGGGACACTTTGGTTCCCAGCCTGCACTCAATCCACTGAGCTACGCCAGCCAGGGCTACAATATTTCTAATTGTCACTTCAGTCTTTTGGAGCAGATCACCGTCAGTAGGTGGTGGAATACGTCTGTCTTCAAAGATTACACTCTTTCCACTGGGTCAGGTGCTACCCCCCACCCCGTGCAGATAATCTTACCTCTAACTGTACCGAGCACAGTGCAATCTGATAGCAGTTTTCTCTTCCCCCCTGCCTTGCCAGCCTCTTTTCTAAGAGGAAAAGGGTTTTTTTTTTCTCCAAAGTTACCAACGTGTGTGCTTTCAACATGTCCATTCCTGCATTACTCTCTTTTCCCTAGTAAAGGGCTTTAATAACGTCTTCATTCACTGCTTCCTTTCTTCACTTCCCTACCCCTGTAACTGTGTATGGTTAACCTTTATCCTATGGCTTCTTAAAATTGCTTTCAGAGATCACCACTAAGTTCCTTTTTTTTCCAGCCTTACTCTTTGCATTGCCAATTTCCTTTTTTAAATAGGACTTGAGGTAATGTATCTGCTATTTACTAGCTTTGACCTTAGACAAGTGGTTTCCTTAGGGAAACATGACCTTAGGAAACTTCAGAGATGGGACTGCCTGGTCAAACTGGACATTTTCCAAGCACTGGAAGTTTCTCTCCCCAAGAGGCTATTAACCTTTGTAAGATGAAGTTTCCTCTTTTATAAGTTGGGCCTAGTATCTACTTCATATGATTGCCATGAGGATTGATTGAGAATATTGTATGTAAAGCATTGACAGTACTTGGCAAGTGATATGTGAGCACTGAACTGATAAGAGTAATTTTTAATCTTTTCTGTGTCGTCTCCTTTACCTCGTTCCCTTCTCCCGTGAGAGCAGTGCTCTGGCTGCAGGACACTGTCTGCCACTCCCGGGGTGCGCTGTGCGTTCCCTGGCCCTCGGCTGGTGCTGGGGCTCCCTCAGCCTGGACTGCTCCTTCCCCTCGGTCTCCCCTTGATGGAAATTTCAACTCTCCCCTAAATTATTTTCCCCTTCTCCCAGCTGAAACCGCTCTGTTCTCGTGTTCCTGTAGTGTTCTTGTCTGTCATTCTCTGCCTTACTTTATGCTTGTTTTGTGTTAACACTGCCTTTTGTCCTGCAAGCACCTAAAGCGGCTGCCAGCAAGTATTGAATTAATTAATCTGGTGACTCAAACCTCGTGGTGGTCTTTTGGACTGGAATTTGTGGTGGTGCCTCACGTGGTATGGTTTTTTAGATTGGACCTGCATGCTGGAAAACAGCATTTCTTTTTGTGTCCCAGGTGCCCCAGGACCCAGAAGTGGGGACAGAATGTGACCTTCTGTAGCACTTTTGGCTTCATTTATCTCACTGAGAGCTGACCCTAAGTGCAGGCGGGATGGAACAGTCATCCGTGTTTCCATTTCCTCACCTCAGGGTCTTCTCAGGGCCCCTGCCCTTTCTGGTGCCGACTCTCTTTCCGACAGTCACACTGTAAGGGCATCTTCTGGTTTCCTCCAGCAGCGCTTGTGTCTAGGAAGCAGTTGACTAAGTGCCCGAAAGGGTTAGCCAGTGACAGCAGTCCGTAGCTGCGCTGCTTGTGCTGGGCGGCTGACAGCAGGGCTCTTCCAGGTGGTCTCCTGCGTGCCTGGCAGACACACAGTTCCATCCGCTAGGGTTCTTATTAGTGCAGAATCCATTGTTCACCGGTATGAAGTTGGTTGTTCATATATGAATGTACTTGTATAATACTTAGGTAACTAATACAATTCATGATTTACTAGTCTGTTTCCTTTGCTAGTTGTTGGGTTCCTTGGGATTAGGACCTCATTTGTTTCCTTGTCCTTTTCCACCCAGGATGGTGCATTTATGTGGCCAGCAAGTGGCAGTTAATACGAATGCCTTATTTCAACTGCAGTGTTTTAATGAGTAAGGTCAATATCCTGGAAAAACATGACTTGGGCAAAATATATCAATACCAAGGTTGACTAAGAGAATCATCGTTCCCATTATTTGTATAAAGCTGAGGAAGATTTTCTTTTGTCTTTACTTTGGATGCGCATTACCATTCAGAAGGAGATCTTAATAGATAAATAACTTATTTTCATATACTCACTATATTCAGAAATACTTGGGAACTGTTAATGGGAACTATTTCATGGGAAATATTGATACATTTTTGAAAATTGGATGTAGATGCATATTCTTTTTTATTCTCAGGCAAAGGGAAAATAACTTTTTAAAATAAACTTTACAGAATGTTCAAATTGTCATTTTATAATGCCATTTATTGCCATATTACTAGGAGTCACATTTTTAATCAACAGAATTTAGAAATAAAATACCTCTTGTTATTTCCTGGGTCCTCTTGCTTAGTCAGCAAATGGTTCAGGAGTTTGGTCTAGAGAGTGGCTGGGACGTTCGGAGTAAGAACTGGCTGAGGCAGAAGTGGAGGCCGATTGCTCTTGGGGCGCGTGTGGACTAATGGCAAAGAGCTCCTGGGTCACACCCTGGTCTGCCGCTTACAATATGTGACCATTTCAAAGCCTCAGTTTTGACACCTTTGAAATAGGGATCACAATTAGGAGTCAGGGACTTTCTGCACAGTGTCTGACCCATAGGAAGCCTTCAGTGAATGTTGTTCTTGGTGGTACTGATGTTGCAGCCAGTGATGATAACAGCTTCATTTTCCGCGGTCATCAGTCCTGCATGCTAATGAAAGTGATTAATCACTTATCTTTTATTGACCTCAATTTACATTTTCTTTTTTGTTCATGTGACAGGTAACCGCCCTCAAAACTAACACAATTGTATTTCTTTAAATATAGTTCTCTATGTTTGATTTTTTTGTTTTTGTTTTTGTTCAGTGAGATTGATCCCTAACTGAATTTGGTGGATGAGTAAACACAGATGTGAATGCATAAAACTTCTAGTTCTTAAACTGTGTTTAACAAGTGTTTACTTTGGGGTTTAATTCATTTCTCCTCTTCACAAACATTTTAGCTTACTTTGGGGCTAAAGCACTGTTTGGTCACCTGGACTTGGAAGCGCTCAGTGGACAGTCAACACGGAAGGTGTGCACTCTGGCCGGGCTAAGAGCTGGGACATCGATCAGACGCCCAACAGTTGAATGGCACAGGGCTCTTCTCGGGTGCATCTGTGGCAGAGTGGAACCCCTGCTGACTGCCAGACTGTATCAAAATAAATGTCTTTAACAGTGTTGTGTGTTGAGTCCTTTTTGAATTGAACATAGTAGGACTGTTAGGTAAAAATTTAGCCTTTTAGTACTTTTTCAAAACAAAGAATCTGTATCTGTGCCTAGATGTACCTTAATAAGTTAGGGAATTCCCAAGTTCATTTCTTAACACATAAATTCCATTTTCCCTGTGCATTGAATTATAACTTCCTTGGGATGTTTTGAAGTAGGAAAAGTAGAAACGGCTCTCAGTTTGTGAAACACTGGGCTTTGCTTCCTGCCCTGGATGGGAGTTCAGTTCTGATAGGAAGGACAGGGTTCTGTGGCTCTGTTGGAAGCTGATGGGAATGGCTTTGGGGAGCGCAGGTCTGATTTATTTGTGAGTCAAATGTGGGTCTAAGATTCCCCTTGGTGATGCTCGGAAACCAGAGCTGGCTGGGCCGGAGCCCGCTCAGAGCTGCACAGAATAGTAGCACTTTCTATTTTCCCATAGAAGAAAAGGCAGTTAATGGGAGCTAGGTTTCAGTTTTGGATCCTGGTTTCCTGGAAGTTTTACCTGTACTTAACCTACTTAATTTTAACTTTTTCCATAATTCTAACAGAATAGATTTAGTTTGGGGGAGTGGAATTAATGTAGGAACAAAGGCCTGGAGATGCAACACGGTTTGGGAGGAGCCCACTGGTTTGAGTGTTTTAAACACCCAGTGTGTAAGTAGATAATGGTCATGAATGCAGTTTCAGGTGACTGCAGCTGTCATTGCCAGAAAGTTCTTCCTTGTTTCTGATGTAAAACCCTCTAGCTATTTAAGCCTGTTTCCTCAAGCTTTGTTACCCTTGCCATGGAGATGTGGGAGACTGTTACTGAGGCTTATTGCTTAGGCGGATTTTAAAGTGGAATTTTTGAGACCTATTGCTGGAAAACCATTTTCGGTAAGCAATATCATTGTTTCAATATAAATCTCTGCATGTATGATTTTACTAAAAACAACAAAATTTTTAGTTAAAAAAAAGGACTTAGATTTAAATCTCATAGAACTGGGTAAGATTGTGGCTCGCTCTCCACACACTGCCCCTGCCCCCCATACCTTTCTGTTAAATTTTAGGGTTGTTGGTGATTTTTTGTTTAGTTAGAATTCTGGTGTATATTTTCTTCCCTTTCTCATTCAGGATTTCTAGAAGTTGAGGAACTGAAGCTATAGCAGGCGTCAATTTTTATAGACTACTAACATGGATAGTAAACATGACTGGTATTCTGTTTTAGGTGTTGACTTGTAGCTGCGTATAGAACCTAGTTGATTTTAAAGAAAAGAATCCAGAATTAAGTTGTAAGGAGTCAGTTCCCTGATCTCACACCTCAGGAAGTTAAGGAAGAGAGTTTAAGCTCTTGTTCAAGACACAGGATAGCTGAGACTACTACACACCTTAATGTGTGTGTATATCTGTATCTCTTACATTTGGGAAATGGATATTGTTAAGCTCCTACATTTTGTTTAATTTTAGTTTTTGGGGCAGTGCAGTCTGTTTCCACAAGCATTGGTCTCTGTTCTGTGCTGGATGCTAGTGAGTCCTTAAAATTAAGATCATTCCTGACCTTGATTTGCTTAGGCAAAAACACTGAGCTGAGAGGACCTGGTTGAGTCTTGGCTCTACCATGTAGTTCCTACCTTAATGGAAAAGTCTAATCTTTATGCTTCAGTTTCTTCCACAAAATAGGAATAATACTTGCCCCAAGGTGTTATTTTGTAAACTGTTGGTTCCCAGCTAATCCCAGACTAGCATTACCTGTTTCAGGTGTGAAAACGGGGAGGCCCAGCAATCTGTGCATTTTAACTTTTTTTTGTTTTAATCCTTACTAGTCTTAGAAACATCAATTGGTTGCCTCCCATATGCACCCCCACTGGGGCTTGAACCCACAAGCTAGGTACGTGCCCAGACTGAGAATTGAACCTGCCACCTTAGTGTATTGAGACGATGCTCCAACCAACTGAGCCACCTGACCAGGGTTCTGTGTATATTTTAATGACTTTAACCATTATTTTAAATTAAATTTATTTTGTGCAAATTTAGAGTTGCATGCAGTATAAAAAATGATAAAGATCCCTGTGCCCTTTACTTAGTTTCCCCTAATGGTGGCATATTACAACACTATGGCAGAGAATCAGAGTACTGACATTGATACAGTCAGAGCTTCTCCATCACCGCAAGGATCCCTCGTGTTGCCCTGTTAGAGCCGATCATCCTCACCTACCCCTGCCCCACCCCTAGCCCCTGGCAAGGAGCAATTTGTTGTCTATTTCTATAACTCATTTCGAGAAAGTTACACAAATGGAATAGGTACCCTTTGGGATTAGTTCTTTTTTACTCAACATAATTCTCAGTAGGTTGATCGAGGTTGTGTGTGTCAGTTGATTGCATTTGTGCACAGCTTTTTGTGTACTCCAACGTATTTCAGCAAGTCCCCCAGGTGACTGATGTAGCTCAGGTGTGAGAACTGCGGCCTCAGACCTGCAGCAGCCCTCCTACTTCCCCTTACACATTAAAGTCTGTTTTCCGCATGACATCAGAGCAGTCCTTTTAAGTCGGATCACACCACACCTCGATCAGAAGTTTCCAGTGGCTTCCTAGCACTGGGAGTAAAATCCTGAATCCAGACCTTCTGTTGCTCTCAAGACTGTAATCTGGCCTCAAGGGCCTTTGATCTCTTCATTGCTTATGAAGTTTCCCCCCATATTTACTTGCACTCTTGCTGTTTTGATTCTTCTTCCCCTCAGGCCACACATCTTCCATCAGTGTCAGCTCTTCTTTCTGCTGGAGCTTTTCTCCCAGGTGTCCACGTGCTTGGCTTCCTCTCTTTATTGTAATCTGCACAAATGCCATCATTATGGACAGGGCTTCTCTCCTCATGCACAATAACAGCCCCTTCACCTGCCTTTTCTCCCCGTTATTCTCTCCCTTAACTTCACTTTTCTTCAAAGAACTTTTCCCATCTGATTTTGTATGTGTATGTACATAAATTATCTTGATCCTCCTCTCTAGAATATAAGCCTCATAAACGCAGGACTATGTAATTTTAGGGGTTAACACAGGTCCTGGTGCACTGTATATATTTAATAAGAAGGAATGAATGAATTACAGGATTGTATGAAGTATAAAAATGCTTCAAGACTGGAAACTTTCCTAACGTGAAATGGGAAGGGCCAGCATTTCTCTCTGCCTCAGTCATAATTCATAATTGATCCGAGCCAGGGATTTTACATCAAAAGATGTTAGGAGGAGGAGATTGGGGAAAGGGAATGTTTTCTATAACTTGGTACTTTATTAATTTAATCACAACAACCCCGTGAAGTACAGGGCTTTATCTGCATTTTGCAGGTGAAACAGGCTTGTGTCATTTTCCCCAAATCACAGAGAAAGCTTGGATTTGAACCTAGATCTACTAACTGAAAGCCTATGATCTTATTAGTGATACATGCCCCATTTAATTTTTTTTTTACAGCTGATGAAATGTTATAGTAGACAATTACAACAACTACGAAATGTTAACATTTCAAATTCTATAGAGAGGGCCATGGTAGTACATGGAGTACTCAAATTCACATCATAAATTTAACTTGTTTCAAATTACCATGCCAGCTGTAATAAACTCTTTTTGTTATCTTTCCTTGACTAGCCTACATTTGTAGGGAGGTACATTTTACATACAATAAAATGAACATCTTAAATATATGGTTTATGATTGTTGATCACTGTATATACCATGATGTAACCACCACACCAAGATGGGGATCATGATCTACTTGAATCTTGGATCCTTTGTGTATTGCACGTAGTAGGTGCTCAAGAGATTTTTTTTAAAGAATTTATTTATTTATTTTAGAGAGAGGGGAAGGGAGAGAGAAGGAGAGGGAGAGAAACTTCAGTGTGTGGTTGCCCCTTGCATATCCCCAACTGAGGACTCGACCTACAACCCAAGCATGTGCCCTGACTGGGAATCGAACCAGCGACCCTTTTGCTTCACAGCCTGGCACTCAGTCTACTGAGCCACACCAGCCAGGGCTCAAGAGATCTCTTTAAAACTAAATGTAACCACTTTTAAGGTTGACATAGATGAATTGTACAGGGAAGTTTTGATTGATGTTCTTTCTTTCCTGTAAGAAGCAAAGATAATAAAAGTCACAAACAGCTTTAGAGCTTTACTCAAAACTGGGATGATAAAAAAAAAGATACTGCAGCACTTTCTTTCCTGTTGCATCAAGGACAGCCAGAAGAGCATGGAGACAAGAATGAAAAAATACATTTTATTTTTCCTGAAGAAAAATGAGACTCACACCGCTAACAGGAAGTGAGCTATGAAATGTCGACAGCTGCCTGGTGTACCCTAATACCGATTGCAGACGAGGCCGGGGACGAGGAGGAACCTCCCGGAGGGCAAACTAGAGGCCCCATCAGGAGTTTCCTAGAAAGTGGAACTGAAAGTCCAGATAGTGTTGGGAAGTCTCTGTTTCTGCCCCATGGAATTTCACATTGCTAATCGACCAGTGACAACCTCAGTTCTAACATGGTTATCTTGCTTCTACTGTGCCTTTGTGTGTTGGGTAAATTGGAGGCAGTTAACTTGTCTTTAAGTTCTTAGATTACTGGATGACAGGGAGCTATCTGCACCAGATGGGAGGTGCCCATTTCCCAGAATTCCTTAACTTTGCTCTGGATACAATATGTAGATGAGACAAAATCATATCCCTGGGAGTGTTCTATATATGAGAATTAGTATGTATGAATATTTGGTCAGTAAGGAAATAGATGTGTCAGAGAATGTTAGGTGCTTATCAAAAATCCACTTTCTGTTTCTTAAATTGTCACATTTAGCTGCTCATATTGAAACCATGCTGAAAGGCTCCCACACTCCTTTGCAGTGAGGTGTGGCTCTCTGATTAATATTTGACAACCGAAGTGTGAGTGGAAGTGTAGTGGGAAGTTTCCCTAAAAGAGAGTGAAATGAATGAGACATGACTGGGTCCCAGCTG